AAATGTTTTATTTTGATTTATTTCAGTTTACCTTGACTATTTTAAAATAAATCTAGTCTTCCCTTTAAAATCAGTCCCCCAATACTTTTGGAGTTGGATATCCATTGGTAAGTTGAATGCTGAACTCATGAATGGCTTGATCGCCACGAATGAGATAAATGCCGCAAGGCTATATGTCTTGTCCTCCAGGAGGACCCTGACTACACCACCAGTCTCCTCGTGAATGAGGCCAGAGTTACGTTATGTGCTAACGTGAGGTGCGTGATTTCGGGTAGTCGTCACACAACACCGTTTCGTGATGCTTGGCACCTTCATTTTTCACGATCATGCACTTTTCAATGTTTAAGCTGCTTAACTCACGCCTGATTCGCAATAACCACAACGCATGAGTAGAAAGAAGAGTAGAAACTATAATCCGTCAAAGAAGAGGTTGTGCGAATGCCCCATGCTATTCGTAACCTCATGTATAGATACTACCTTAGCATCGGCCAGCCAACACTCTCATTCTGTCCGCTTCAACACTTCCACTTCCAACTTATTCTCACTTCACTTACGCGTTGAATTTCCATCAGTATAACACGTATTTTACATTCCTTTTTACCTATTAATATCAGTAGCAGTTTTTTATTATTACACGCATGCACACACAGAAATGGGCAAGGGATCGTATACTTCTAGTTTCATGTTCGTAGAGCGAGAAGAGAGGCTGGAAAAGGGCACCTCTTATTCTAAGTGTGTGGTGAAATTTCACCAATTATTATGGTACAAGGGAATTGTGGTTTGTTTCCCCCTCTTCAACTCGTCCTCCTGCTACTTTATCGCAGTCAATGGCTTCTCCTTAGTCGCATGGCTGTGGTCAACCAATCACCTGTCCATTAAAAGGCATTTCAAACAAACACCTCAAAACTGTAGTCTCCGACTCGTATTCCTATTTCAAATTTACGTCTAAATAAATTTCACTTTATGTACTATCACTTCAAACAATTGTCCTGACCGCAAGAATACGTTAGATGACAGTGACCAACTGAGTCGTCAGCGTTCCTCCGAGGTAGCACTGAGAAACTAAGCCGACACAGCCGATCGGCCGAACGTAACTGAAGGCAGTGAATTCAATGCAGCATATTTCATTCGAGGTTCGTTGAGATAGACAAGAAAGCGAAGGGATGGCCAATCAAGTCGATCTAACCATTTGTGCGATTCGTTTTGTTCGTAATGTGTTAGTAGGGCTTCCGATGGGTACCTCTATTCTTAAAACACATTTACCTTCCATTAAATTGCCCTCTACCTACTGCAACCCACTTTGTGTTGTTTCATTTTTGGCACCACTTTTATCAGTCTTTTCCGAGTCAACGTGGTTCACTCAGCATTGATCCTTCTGGCACACTCAAATGGATAAGCACTGAAGTTGCGGAGTTCTCCACGTACGTTGGGAGGCTATGTGATGTGCTGGAGTTGAATGCGTCGAAAAAGTTCTCTTTCGAAAGTACAATTGCTGGTTGGGCATGACTTAGGCGCATAGTAAAAATCGCTACTACCCATTTGATAAATTGGCATTTCTCGTTGATATTTCATAGTGGTGCCTAGCTCTCTCTCTCTCTCTGGTATTATTCTTGAAGAAGTCATTGAATTTCGCGGGCTTATGACTGTTTCTGTTACAATGTTGTAGTAGAGGTGGGCGATTGGCATCATG